CTTGTTCGTGTCCAGGTCCCAGGTCAGCCTCCTCACGACAGAGAGCCAGTCTGGTCCCTCCGAGTTGGTGCCCACGTAGGTCGTGACATTTTGGTCTTCCCGTTCCCAGCACTCAAACTCGCCCTTGACATCGAACTCGGAATCGAGGCCCTCCTCGTTGTCCAGCTCCTTCCTCCACTTCGGCTGCGGTTGCTTGCCTACCATCCGTCGCGTGATCACGTACGCCGTCTCCTTGTACTTCGCCTCCTTGTCACCTCCAGCCCGCGCGCACCACGTCGACCACTTCTCGCACTTCATGATGGACTTGGCCCACTTCCTGCACATCGCCGACGGATATGCTGCCGTGAACTCTGTCACCTTGCCCTGAATCTCCTCGTGGTAGTGGTTGTGCGGACTGCCTTTCCTGTTCGAGCAGGTCCTCCCGATGGTCTGGCTCCGGTGAACGTCTGAGGTTGCGATCAGCCACTCCTTCTTGATCAGCTCGTTTGTCTTGGGATAACGCAAACCGTAAGCACACCCGTCTACTCGAACTGTGACCAGCTGCTCCCTGAGCCTCCTGAGAAAAGGCAACGACCACGTTCCACATCTCAGGGGCTGTTCGAAGTCGATCTCCGCACTTTGATGTAGAGTTTGGTGTGCAAGAAGCACACATGCCTTCGTCACCATGTCGTTCTTGCGCCGCTTCGCCTCTAGCTTCTCGCGCTGTTCTGGCGTGTTCTGGCTGGCGTTCTGGATGATGGATCTGGCAGTGCACGGCGGTGAGAACACAACTCTGCGAGGCATCTCCTCTCTAAGCGTCTCCGAAGCTCTGCGGTAGCCCGCGTTGGTCGTCAGGTCGTACATATTATGCTTGCCCAGCCTCATCACCTTGCCACCTAGCTTCTCCACCTCTACACCAAGCTTGGAATCGGGCGGCGCAAGCACCGCCATCAAATCCAGTCGTCCTTCCCGAAGTAGATCACGAGCCTCCCTTGCGGCCATCTCTTAGAAAGTCTTTATGCCGGCCCTATGCGCGTACATCTGCCTGTCACTGAGGTCCTTCAAGGTCTCTTTGCCAGATGAACTGCCGCCCTCAGAACCCTCTTTTGCAGGTCCCGGCCCTCAGCCTCCAACTTGAGAATGAGCACGCGCCCCCAGTTCTCTAGACTGTACATCGCCTCCAGCATGTCCCAGGAGTCCTCCTGCACTGGTATCTCCTCCGTATTGCGGTTCTCTGCCTTCACTCTCTCCAGGTGCTCGTAGAGGGTCTCCTTCGCGGGATCCCAGAATGGAAACTGGATGTTGTAGTTCATGACTGTCTCCAGGCCGATCTCTTCCGAGGTGACCTGCGGTTGGTCGTCCTCCTTCTTCGGTGGTGTCGTCTTGGCTGTCGGTGCTGTCTTCGGTGTCGGTGGCGCGAAGGTCTCCCTCGATGGCGAAGGTGAGCTCGAACTTGTCGTCGCCCTCCTCGGTGCTGTCGGTCTCCGGGTCGCTTCCTGCTTCTCCTTCTTGGGATGCCCCGTAGACTGTGGCCCAGAACTCTGCTTCGCACCGGAGGTCTTTAGGCATATGCGACTCTCGCCCCCGACACAGCTGCACCCTGCTCTGCGTTTCCCAGGCGCTCCGCAGCACTCGCACTTGATGTTGTATTGCTGCTTCGCACCTTTGAACTCCTGATCTGCTTCTTCCTTCTTGGTCAGCGGCTTCATGAGTGGTGGTTGTCCGAGCGGTAGTCGACCTTGGCACTGGTGACTCCTGCCTCCCGCACAGCTGCAGCCTGCTGTTGTTGTTTCTGGAACTCCGCAACAACCGCACCTCGCGCTCGTCAATCTCGCTGGAGATTCGAAGACAGCTGACCGCTGAGACCAACCATACGAGCTTGGCCCAGCGCATGCTGACTGCATCAAATATGGAAGGATCTTGGTCGTGAAAACTCTGAGAAACTTCACCTCCTTGAGCCCAAGTGTCAACTGAAGCGGAAACCTTGAACGACTCATGCTTGACAACCTCTCGCCACTCGGCATCGGGACCAAAATCGATCAGAAGATGTCCACAGCGAGAGCGTTCAAACATTTACACCTTGTCACTCATAGCCCTGAAACATATCGTGCCCTGCTCGAAATCTACAGCGACCCCGAAATGGTTCAAGAAATCCACCCCTGTCAGAAGCGGGGCCTCGACATCCACGACCGAAGCTGGAAAGTCACACTGTTGGGCATCGACATATCTGGGTAAAGACGCGTGATTCCGAGATTTTGCCTTCTGGTTGTTCCCGAAGGTGAACTCTATCAGGGGTCCCGGCAGAACTTTCATACGGTTGTGGCCAATCAATATCTCATCATCGAAATCTGCCAGGTTTCGGCTTGCTCTAAACCGATCATAGACGAAGTCGCCCCTGAATCCAAGATGCCCTTAAAGGTACCCGAGAGCTGAGTAGCCAGGAAGACGTGTTGTTCATAAACTATAAGAACATGTCGAAAATCTCTTCTGTTAAACCTTGGTCTCCAGCTTTTCGATCCCGAAAGTGAACCCGTCGGTGGTCTCGGTAACCTGAGGACTCTGGATGCAGTCTGGGAACTCAGAGGCCTCCTGAATCCAGAGCGAGTCGTGCCCCGAGATCGCCAGAACCGCTTTCGAGTTACCCTCAGTCTGATTTGGGTCGGCGTCGGTCGCATCCGGGTCGATGTCGGTCGCATATTGGTCGATGTCGGTCGCATCTTGGTCGACGTCGGTCGCATCTGTGTCGAAGTAGATCGCATCTGTGTCGATGTCGGTCGCGTCCGGATGACAGATGACGATGGGTGCTTGTACTTGCGCCCACTCTGTAGCTTGGCGGGAGCCTTGCAGTCCTTAGCGATGTGGCCCTTGCCGCCGCATCGCAGGCACACGGTGTTCGGGTCCGTCCTCCAGTCCTTCCCGGTGGAGCCCTGGCTCGGCGAGCCACGCGACGTCGATGGGGCACGGCCGGCACCCTTGGTGCCCTTCGGTCCTGGCGAACCCTTGGCGTTCGGGCTGAAGAACTTCCTGCCCGTCTTCTTCTGTCGAAGCAGTTCTCGTGCCTGCCTGAAGGAGCGCTGCCCGTGTTGAGCAGCCGCAAGCACAGCACCTTCTAGGAGTTCGTCTCGTAACTCCTTGTCGTCTCCGGCCTGCTCGTAGATATCCAGCAGCTGGTAGTTCATGTCCTCGTCCTCGGCCAGCGCGAAGGCGGTGGCGTCGTCCTCGAGGTCGAGCTGCTGGACAGGCTCTTCGTCGTCTTCATGTCCGTCATCCTCCGCGTAGTAGTCGTCGTCGGCCTCGGCAACGTAGTTCTTCCGGCCTTGCCACTGGGGTCTATGCCCTTTGTGGTGGTGGCCTTCTCGATCGTGTTTCTTGTCGAACTGCATGCCGAGGGCCTGCTGGATCTTCTGGCACTCGTACCGGTTCTGCACAGACGCCAGCACCTGGGATCTCTCGTGGTCGTCTAGGCCCGCGTTCTCCAATATGAACCAGGCTCGCAGCGGCTCTGGAAAGATCGGCTTCTTCTCATCAAAGCTCTTGTCGATGGCCTTGATGGCCTTCTGCATCCGATCCTCCTCGACCTCGAACTGTCTCAAGTAGTCGCGCATCGCGGTCCTATTCTTGCGGAATGTCTCTTTCATGAACGTGCGCATGTACTTCCCTGCGTCCTCTACCTCCAGGATGCCGCTCTTCTCCTGCAACAACTGGCTGACACCCTTCGGAAGCTTTGTGCTCGGGTCCTCTTCGATGTCGTCGAGGCTCTCGAGCTTGTCGTATTTCTGTACTCCCTGCCAGGCTCTTCCGCAAAGTCGAGCCATCAGTCTGGGCCCGCACAGGCCCTTCTCGTCCTTCTTGGTCCCGCGCACGTAGAGCTTGACCCTCATCACGTAGGAGTCGAAACTGGCAACATCTCCATCCCAGGATGGAACTGTCTCGTGCTTCTGGTCTTCGGTCGTCATGACGAGCCAGTCCGTGGAGCCAGACCGGCTCCGCTACCAACTAAATTGTCGGCGTTGGCGTTAGCCTCGTCGATGGACTTCAGATAGCTGTCGTCAATCACAATGAACCCTGATGATTATCGTGATAATCCACTTTACGTCCAGCGCAGCGCCAACACCCACGAAACTGTATCTCTCGTGTGTGAGCCCCTGGTGGGCTTCTATAAACGTAGTGCTCTGGAAGCACTGTTGTACAAAACGTACTCGCCGGTAGCTACGCACCGGCCCAAGGGCGCCCTGAACCAAACAGCGATGGAATCGGTTCGTTCGCTCGTTCGGGCTCCCAGGTCTCGATCGGTCGGCCAAGACTCACACACATATTTACACCTCCCTCCTCCCTCCTCCTCCTCCTCCTCCTCCTCCTCCTCCTCCTCCTCCCTCCTCCTCCTCCCTCCTCCTCCTCCCTCCTCCTCCTCCTCCTCCTCTCTCCTCCTCCTCCTCCTCCTCCTCCTCCTCCTCCTCCTCCTCCCTCCTCCTCCTCCTCCTCCTCCTCCTCCCTCCTCCTCCTCCTCCTCCTCCTCCTCCTCCTCCTCCTCCTCCTCCTCCTCCTCCTCCTCCTCCTCCTCCTCCTCCTCTCCTCCTCCTCCTCCTCCTCCTCCTCCTCCTCCTCCTCCTCCTCCTCCTCCTCCTCCTCTCCGCCTCCGCCTTCGCCTCCGCCTCCGCCTCCTGCTCCTGTTCCTGCTCCTGTTCCTGCTCCTCCTCTTCTTCTTATTCTTCTTCTTCTTATTATTATGATTATTCTTCTTCTTCTTATTATTATTATTATTCTTATTCTTCTTATTATGCTTCCTCCTCATCCTCCTCCTCTTCCTCTTGTTCTTATTTTTGTCTTCCCTCCTCCTCCTTCTCCTCCTCCTCCTCCTCCTCCGCCTCCTCCTCCTCCTCCTCCTCCTCCTCCTCCTCCTCCTCCTCCTCCTCCTCCTCCTCCTCCTCCTCCCCTCTGCTCGTCCCACCCCAGGGATCCCTCCTCCTTGCCTCCTCGGGCGTCGGGTCCTGCCCCTTCAGTCCCAGAGCAAAGCGCCCCGCTGCGGTGAGGCCGCTGACGCCCTTGCGCTTGACAGCGTCGATCAAGTTCTCCTGTCCAACCCTCCCCCGCCTTCTCCTCCTCCTCCTCCGTCTCCTCCTCCTCCTCCTCCTCCTCCTCCTCCTCCTCCTCCTCATCATCATCATCATCATCATCATCAGCATCATCGTCATCATCATCATCATCCACCTCCTTCTCCTCCTTCTCCACCGCCTCCTCTTCCGCATCCGCCTCCATCTCCGCCTCCGCCTCCGCTTCCGCTTCCTCCTGGGCCTACTTTTGAACCTTCTCCTGAGGAGGAGGAAGAGGAGGAGAAGGAGGAGGAGGAGGAGGGGGAGTAGGAGGAGGAGGAGGAAAACAGAGAATGAGGAGGAGGCAGGGGGGAGAGAGAGAGAGAGAGGAGGGGGGGGTGGAGGAAGAAGCGGGAAGGAGGAGACGAAGGAGGACGAGAATGAGGACGACGACGAGAAGGATGTCCTCGTCCTCATGCTACTACTCCTGCTCCTCGGATTCCTCGTCATCCGTTTTCTCCGTTGGAACCTGCGCACCACTCTTCACCATCACACCACCACAACCATCATCATCAGCAACCGCAGCTTCATCATCAACATCACCATCATGGCCAGATCCGCGCCGTCGACACCGAAACCGTCTAACATCAGCATCATAATCACCATCACCATTATCACCATCAACATCATCATCATCATCATCATCATCATCATCATCATCATCATCATCATCATCATCATCATCATCATCATCATCATCATCACTATCATCACCATCACCATCATCATCCTCGTCCTCATCCTCGTCGTCTTCATCACCACCACCGTCATCATCATCATCATCAGCAGCAGCAGCATCATCATCATCAGCAGCAGCATCACCACCATCATCATCCTCAGCATCATCATCGTCGCCTGCATAATCATCATCATAACCACCCCCGCCACCAGGGTCATCATCAGACCCGTCAACGCCATCATCCGCGTCAACCGCAGCATCAGCATCATCAACATCAACAACACCATCAGCCCAGCGCTATCATTGTCAGCACCATTCGCCCCCATCACAACCACACGCATCACCTGAATGATGTTACCCTCACCATCATCATGTGTCGAAGCTATCCTACATATTCTTCAACGTTCCCGTCACATCCTTCCTTCTCCTCCTACGACCACTCTTACGATTACGGCCTGGACGACTACAACTACAGGTACAACTAGCATTACGAGCACAAATACTACTCATATGCACTACTACGACTGCTACTACAAACACTCGTGCCACAACTAATGCTACGAATCGGCTACTCCAAATCATACTGGCTCGAATAACCCATTTAACTGCTAAAACGACCGCTAAATATAAGTCGCCAATCTTATAGTTAACAACTGCTGTAACGACCGGTAACTGGTTAACAATATTTCTAGTTCGCGCGCGCGGGGCCGCCCCTGGGGGTCCCCGGATGAAAAATACCCCAGCAAGGTCCCGGGCAGGTCCCCGCAAGGTCTCCCCGGGCAGGTCCCGGCAAGGTCCTGGGCAGGTCCCTGCGAGGTCCTGGCCAGGTCCCAGCAAGCTCCCAAAAGCGCTCCAGGAGCGCTTCAAAAGAAGGCCTCCAGACAGCCCAAAGCGCCTTCAAGACGCCCCAAGAGGCCTCCAAGGCCTTCCAAGAGGGCCCACAGAGGCAGAGATTAGTGGTTTTCCTTTAGCTTTGAAAGTTTTTGCCGTTCTCGCCTTTTCAGCTTACCGGCGCTCCAAGACGGCCCAAGAGGCCTGCAGGATCGCCCCAACATGGCCCAAGAGGCCTCCAAGAACGCCCAAAACGGCCCCAGAGGGCCCGCAGACAGCCCCAGAGGCCTCCAAGATGGCCGAAGAGGCTCCCAAGACGGCTCCAAGAGCGGGCCAAGACGGGGGACCCGAACGGACATTTCGAGCTCTAGGCGCAGAGAGGTCCCCTGGAGGCCCCCAAGAGGCCCCCAAGAAGCCCCAAGAGGGCCCCGAGAGGCCCCAAGACTCCCAAGAGGTCCCCTAGAGGGCCCCCCTGACGCCCCAGGAGGTCCTAGCGCCAAGAGGCCCCTTAAGAGGCCTCCTATCGGCTCACCAACCTAATTTCTTCCTTCCCTCCCTCTCCTCCTTCTCCCCCCTCTGCGTCAACGAATCGCAATCCTCGAACAAAAAAGCGCTACAATAAGTCATCACGACAGCACTCGAGAGGCCTCCTCCTCGTCCTCATCCTCCCCTATTCTTCCTCCTCCTCATCATCATCCTCCACCACCTCCACCACGTCATCCTCATCCTCATCCTCATCCTCCTCCTCGCTCGCCACGAGCACGCCAAAACATAGAACCATCGATGCAATGTGGACAAGCGCCATCCTCGAACAGAGGCTGCCATCAGAAGCTCTCGAGACGCTGCCTGAGCAGCCATCGAAAGTATTCCGCCTTCTCCTCCTCCTCCTCCTCCTCCTCCTCCTCCTACTACTACTACTACTACTACTACTACTACTACTACTACTACTAGTACTACTACTACTACTACTACTACTACTACTACTACTACTACTACTACTACTACTACACTACTACTACTACTACTACTACTACTACTACTACTACTACTACTACGACTACTACTACTACTACTACTACTACTACTACTACTACTACTACGACTACGACTACGACTACGACTACTACTAACGACTACGACTACTACTACGACTACGACTACGACTACTACTACTACTACTACTACTACTACGACTACTACTACTACTACTACTACTACTACTACTACTACTACTACTACTACTACTACTACTACTACTACTACTACTACTACTACTACTACTACTACTACTACTACTACTACTACTACTACTACTACTACTACTACTACTACTACTACTACTACTACGACTACTACTACTACTACTACTACGACTACTACGACTACTACTACTACTACTACTACTACTACTACTACGACTACTACTACTACTACTACTACTACTACTACTACTCTGCCTCCTCCTCCTCCTCCTCCTCTTCCTACTCCTAGTCCTACTCTTCCTACTCCGTCTCCACCTCCTCCCCATCGTCATCACCATCAGCATCATCAACATCATCATCAGCATCATCCCCGTTATCATCATCAGCATCATCGACAACATCAGCATCATCATCATCATCATCATCATCATCATCATCATCATCATCATCATCATCATCATCATCTGCATCATTATTATCATGTTGGCCATGTGATTATCATATCTTCGCCCGTAGCCTTTTGGCTCAAGTTGAAAACGCGCGCCCTGGCGCTTTCAACTTGGACGCAGCCCAGGGGCTGGTCCGAGATTCATGTGGTCGACAGGCGACTGTCTTGGCAATCCTCTCACGCGCCGTTCCGGGTTCGCGGCACTTGCCATGTCCAGCCGGAATAATCGGTCGCATCATTTTACGCGTCAGCTATGGGTCTACCAGGGTAAAATCGTGATTCGGCGGCTACGGCAAGGTCATCGGGCCAGTGCACAGATACTAACGACATGATCTATCTCGTACGCACTGTATGTTCTGCGTGGATCTGGGCAGTAAGACAGAGGTCCGATCCTCAGTGCAAATGCGGAGGCTCCTGGAATATACGAGGCGTTTCGGACCAGTCAGGCGGTCCATCGCATGCTCCACCATTGCTCCCACCACCGCCTCCGCCTCCAGCGCGAGTTGAGCAGGTCAAGGTACAGCTCAAGAGGCGGGACCCTTCGGAGCAGAAGGACAGAGTTCCTCAAGATGACACGCTAAGCAGCCTGTTCAGTCAAAAGGTGAGATTCCACCGTCTGCAGCAGGGCCTCCAAAGTTCCGCATCAAATTGCTCAAGAAGCAGCTGAACGAAGCTAACGACCAGATCAAGGAGTACAAAGACACTGAACATGTACTCCCGCGGCAGATAGCAAGCGCAGCAGGCGCGGGAAGCGCGGGCGGAGCTATTCTGAGCCTAGCGTTTCTTCTTCATAGCTGTTGAAGCAGATTTTCAGCGAAGTATCGCTCTTGCAACTGCATGCGTTGCTTTCTCAATTCCATAATGGGGCACCATACGCAAAAAGAACCCAAGGACAACAGTAGCTTTGCGCGGGTACCCAGTAAGACTGGAATGCAAGAAAGAGCCAGGGAAGAACCTCTTCATGCCTTCGAATTTGGAAAGAATTCCAACTGGCTGTGCATCAGCATGTCATAATTCACAAGTTTTACCAACGCCTGGAGATAATCCCAGGCAACTGTTGACGTATACACGCACTTTGTTCGGTGACCCCTTTCGCGCGGTAGGATCCGCAAAATACATGTCCTTTTACATGTCATCGAAGCTGCCCAGGCAGGCAGTGCATCGAAGACGTCCGCTGGGATTAAGTTTCCCCTGTTTCCTTCGTTTTGTCGGGCAGCGAGCCCTTAGACATTACCCTTTGCCAGGGTGGCCGTGCCTTGGAGACGTCCGTAAAGATGTATTGTCCCAGGTCTTCAAAGTAGGCCGTGCTAGCGTGGGACAGGCCAGGCAAAAGCTTGGCAGGTGCTGGGATCAACCCTCTGATGAATTCATCGGCCCCTCCCTGTGAAGGCGGGGTAAAGAGAGGCCAGACCGCCAACGTGAAGGCTCCATGACCTGGCCATGCAAGAACCTGGAAGATCCCTCTCTCGTCTCTCCCTCCGCTTCCTCCTACACCTCCTTCTAGTGCACGGCGCCAGGTCGGCGCAGCTGCATTGATGAGGATCCAGTGTGCTGGGTGGGTGGGGGTGTGGATCTTTGGATCTTGGGCCCGGGGGGCGGAGGAAACAATCATAGAGTCAGCCTCTCCTGCACGGCACGGGCAGGACAAAGTTAGGCTAGCATGCAAC